TATTGCAATTAGCTTACACACCTGACGGAAGTGATTCTTGCAAAATAATAATATATGAGAAATATATTTACGATCAATCAGATATATTCCAAAATTTTTCAATAGTTTGATGTTAAAGATAAGAGAAATTTAGAAAGTCACTTGGGTGACACTTCGGAATTTTAATTAATATTAGTTAATAATAATTTTATTTGATATTTAATTTTTTATTTATTTGTAAACCAAATTATATTTTTGTTTTATACACAAATGTAATAAAAATCTTTTTTAAGGTTGTAGTCAATTTAATGGCTGTCATGTAAAAATTATTCAAATGTACTGCGGAAGATTTTACAAATCATTTTTTATATTTAATCATAAAATGATTGATCTTGTATATTGAGATTTTTGTAATCTATTCAATCTTTTGTTCGATAAAAAAATTGAAAAAAGCTTTATACAAAAAAAAACAGTAAAAATAGCAAATATGATAATAGTATTTAAAAATTGAACTAAATTGAAAAGAAAAAAATAATATGATAAATTTCAAAATTTAGATATTAAAATAAATAAGATGATACAATAAATGCACACATAAAGTAATTTGTTTTCTAATTACTATAAATAAAAAGCTGGATTTATAAAATTTCTGTGTAAATTTTTACAAATGGTCTTGTGCATATAACGTGCGATTCTTTCTTCTATTGAAGATAGAAAAATATATTTTATATATTTGTACAAAAAAATATATAAAAAATACAAAAATATAGATATGTTAATTATCTGTTACTATTTCTAGAAACAGTTTATAATGAAATTATCAGTATTTGAAAACGACAGTTAACAGTAATATGTTTGGATGCTTTTATTTTATGTGAGATAGAAATGTCACATTTCTATCAGCTTTTCAGAAATATCTTTTCTTCTTGCGTTACGACATCGGTGTTCAAAGGACTATATCCCCAATATTGGGCGCGCGTTTAAGATGCCAAAAAGCACGTGTGTGTGTGACAGACAATTATGGGACCGGCTACGACGACGACAACGCGACTTAAGACCACATGAAGGATCATGCACGTCAGCTCGATACTCGGGCGAACGGGCCCCTTTCACAATGGCTGACTTCGTAAGGCAAAAATCAGAAAGTTAGGCCCCCGATCCTGCAATACCGTTTCGGCCGCGAGCAAAGAGAGGGACCAGCGAGCAAGCGAGTTTCCGAGGGATGCGCAGCTGTCATAGGGAATGCAGCGATTGGCCGCTACCATTAGTCGGCCATGCTGAATCTTTCCGGTCTTGCTTCTCCTCACAATAGTACCGAGAGAACTTGGAACAGGATCAGTAGCTAAAGATCAGGGTCGCCCAATAATATCTCACGTCCGCGTTCTCGCATCCGCGAGCGTTTTGCTATTCATTCTATTCAACTGACAATGTCGTTCGTCAATTTTTGATGAAATTGGTAGGATCAACATTGAATTGACTGCTCACTAGATTTATCTCTGAACAATGAAAGTATTACTAAAATAGAAACAAAACAAATTTTATTTTTCATTATTTTTATTTTTTACCGTTGGCAAATAGACGTGTGCGTTAGATACGTTTCCGTACGTGCGATATGAAAATCTTTATGCTTGGCAACACCCTTGACTGTTGTTGGTGACACGTCCCGCGGTGAATATCTCGCGTTCGAGACTACTGTCTATAACAAACAAAATCGCGCGGCGTGTTTCTGTTATTGAAATAAATCCTGTCATAATCATTGCTAACACTTCTGTAGGGAATTTGGAATAAGCCAGTAGTAACGGGAGAAAGTGGTCAAGAGACGGAGAGAGAAAGATGAAGGGTTGCCGGGGACTCGTCCATGATTGTCGGCCGCGTGCCGCCACCCTAAGGATTAAGCGCAATTATTGGAATCACTCCGGTAGACCACAACCCGTTTCACACGCTCCTTATGTTCTTTCGAACTATTATGAGTGCTTGATCTGCTAAAACATATTTTCGTTACATTTTGAAAATTATAGAAAAAAAAATGTGCAGCTGAGTCATCCAGATATAAAAATAATATGATAGAATCGCAGATCTCTCACATATATCCATAAAACACAGTTTTGGATCTCAATTGTATTTTAGCTGTTAATTCTAAAAAAATCTGAGTCAAAATTAATTAATTAATTAATTAAAAGCATGTGCCTATACCACAAAAATAATATTTTTATCTGACTTTGATTCCATAAAGCAATATTTTTATTCTAATCTTATATCGCATTCTACGTTAATTTAACATATTTAAAAAAAAGCAATAATTAGAAATGATATCTTTTATATCTTAAATGATATTTTATGTATAGTATATTATCTTAAGTAACTAAAAGCAAAAACTAAAAAAGATACGAATAAGACATAAGAGTCTAAAGAGCATAAAAAGATAGAATATCTGGCATATATCTTTGTTTTTGAAAATATCAACCTCTCTTTTCTAATAATCGTGAAGGAATAATCATAAAACTTGTATTTATAAGTGAACATACATTTCATAGAGTTTTAATAAAATAATATAACGAGATAACATTAAATGCGGTTTGCAATGTGTCGGACATATAAGGTGTCGCCTATTCCTCCTTTTAAACATAAAGTTTTTATAATTAATTTTATTATAACAAAAATTTTATTAAAATTAATTATAAATTACCCATACGTTTGTGTAATATTTATAATAAATATCTATTATAATAAATATTTTTATATATTTATAATTTTAGGAGTATTAATGCCTCGATAATATTATTAAAAATCAAATTACATTTGAAAAATTGTAAATAATTGCAAGTACAGGAAAGACAGGACACTTTGTATAAATAGTATGTAGAACACGTTCGAGTTCATGGAACTAATATATTTCTCGTCGATGAAAGACATGAAAGCCGACCTCCTCTCTCTTTTTGCTTGTATCGCCTCGACGAAGGAAATATAATACCCGTTAGCGCGATTGCAAAATCCGCGAACGAAAAACGTGCGTTTCAGTTAGCCAAGATACATATCTATATCACCTCGTAATTAGCTGCACAAAAGCTATGCAAAAGCACATATTGCATAGTCTAGATCTACGAATGAAATGTTAACCGTTATACTTTTTCACGCTTCGCAAACTGGCTCCGTTAAAACATGCAATTATGGCAAAGTTTTTTTTCCGATTGCTATTTACTAGTTATATCTATAAATATCAAATATTAGTAAGAATTCCTTTCAAAGGAAGGAAACAAAAGAGAATTTCGATAAATTTTTAATTGTTCTAGCATGTTATTACAATATCGAGATTTATTATATTCATACATCACACATACATAATGCTTTAAATTGCCACAATGCACACATGGTATTATATGACAATGTAAAATTTAGAAATTTACAAAATCAAAAATTCAAGTTAATGATTGCACGACTTATTGTATTTTTGCTTTGATTATTAATTGTAATAAATAAAGGCGTTGTTACCAAAAATTGAACAGAAAGATGTTTTATCTTTTTATAGTAAATACAATAAGTATAATGTAAAATTACATGAAGAAAAATGATACTCGGTATACATTCTTTATATTTTGAGACAGATATTGTACATCATTGAATTTGATTGCAGCTTTGTCAACAAATTTCTTGATAAATGCATTCCACGTGTGTTACATACACGTGGTGTCACAAACTAACCGCTCGTCACATACGTCACCCTTTTTGGATGCGGCTTGGGTTTTGGCTTGCTATAACTCCGATAATTATGTTACCAATGCGTCGAAGGACAAAGAGCTCTTGAACGACGTGGATGGCTCGCTTGCTCGCGAACGAGAGCCAGAAGAGACATGGTTGCTTGGTAGTCCAGCTGCCGGTAATCCTCCCTTTGTAATTTGCCTCTATGACCCCCTCCTCCCTTTCTTTCTTCAGTGGCGTCGATTTTTGTCATGAATTTTCCCTGCGCGTTTTCCAACAATAATCGCCATTTTTGTCATAAAATTTTATTTCATTGTGTTTTTACTGTACAAATGGAACCACATTCATAAATAGATAATGACATTACAAAATAGATTATAAAATTAACTCAGATAGATAAACTTTATTTTATAAATAAATTACTCATTCTATATTCAAGGTACAATCGTTTAAAAATATTATTCAGTCATTCTACAAATAGACAAAGTGAAGAATAAATTATTTTTACATGTTTCAAAATAAAATAAAATTACAAAAAAGATTTCCTTTTTCAATAAAAATAAATTTTCTCTCTGCAGGAATAAACATTTGACTCAAACCAAGGCCCAAATAGTCTACGCCAATGGCGAGCGGTTGATGTCACCGTGGCTGTGCCCTCCGGATAATAGAGTCCGCGACTTTAATGGACTCGCTAATCCTCTTCCCTGTTTGTCGGCGAGGGGGCACGCATTCACGATATGCACGGAGGTAAGAATCGGCAGCGAGGGGGTAGAAACGGGATGGTGTGACTGCGGTGCGTGCGCCTCTCTGGGGTGCGCGAAGTGAAGACTGCATTCGTTCGTGCGGGCCGTCACGGCAGCGAGAAGGGGGTGACGCACAAGGGGGTGATCTCTCTGGTCTATCCTAGCCGGAGTGGTGACGTACAGATACGCCCCTTGTGCGGAACCATCGGTGCGATGATACCCTTTGGATTTCTCGGTTGAGCTATGCCGCACGTTATGAGTACGAGCATTCTCTAACTGCATTTGTCGACGAAAATATGTTTTCGGCTAATATTCATTCATTGGAAAAAATTCAGTTTAAAGAAACGCAATGATTGCCTTGATGGTCGGAAGGTGGTCGGTAGATCTGAAAGGGATGATAAAGGGGTGCATAATTAAACGACAAATATACGTCTCAAAGTTGACATAAACGATGACAATGTAATCTTAGATCTCAAAGCGACGATTTAAAATTACAAAATGATTTGTTTCTTTCACCGAGAAACTTAAATGAAATTTATTTGTATAGATTCTCTCTTTTCTACAGTTTTCATATACGATACATATTCCCACCATTTATAAATTGTTATGAATATAATTATAAAATGAACGAAATGTGTAAAATGAGAATGGAATGAAATAAATGTACAAATAATAACACAAAAAAATTAAAAAGTTAGTAATACGGATTGTTATAAAGAAGTAATGTTTTAGCAAAAATTAATTTCTCTTCTTTTGTAATTATTAGAATAAAAATAGAACTCTCAAATCCTTTTTTTATCATTTAATCTCAACGAATCAATTCACAAAAATGTTTATAAAAAAATAAATAATTAGTTTCTTCATATTTCGCTATCGGTAAGGATTACAAATACGATTATAGAGCCATCAATTGTAAAATTTGGCGAATGTGATGACTGAAATGAATGAGGAATGATTTAAGAAAAAGGAACGGAATAACGACCGATGTTATTATTTCATGAATAAATTCGTCTCAATGCCCAATTTAGGCAGATTATCCCCGGTGTTGTCCTTGCGGGATCGCATTAGGCAGGTTTTGTTGTATCTGCACGAGCTGTTGAAGCTGCGGTGGCAGATTTTTGGAGTATTGATAATTAGGCTGGGCAATTTGTTGTTGAGGTTGCGGTTGTGGTCGTGGTTGCGGCGCCGGCGCATAATTAGTGCGGTATTGTGGATTATACTGTTGTTGCTGAGCGGATGGTGGTGGATTATATTGAGCCGGACGTACGGGGATCTGCTTATAGGTAGGCTGCGGTGGTGCCTGTCCTATCTGTACTTTCGGTCGATATTGAGTCAGCTGGTTTTGTTGCACGTATTGAGGCTCGATCGGTGTCGAAGGCGCTAAATTTGGTACCGGTTGCGGCGGAAGATGGACGATCGGATCGCGATACTGTTGAGCAGCCAAGATCTGCTTAATCGCTGCCGGTGCTTGATTGTAAGCTCGATAATTAGCTTGCTGTGCTTGCCTGCGTTCCCGAATGGGGCCTGAAAAATTGTTGGCAAATAAATAAAATTTTCAATCATCGGTGATGATTGTGTTATATTCTTTTCATTTGTTATTTGATATGAATAAAAAGTATCGTTGAAAAATGTATGACATTAATGTTGTTACTCACTGGGGAATTCCGTTCCCAGCACGGGCGCCACGACGAGGATCAAGAACTAGAAAGCAAGAATACATCAAATAACGATAATGCTTTTTACACACAAAAAGACATATAATAAAAACACAAATATTCTTCACTGTAAATAAGTTAACAAAAATTAAAAGAAAACTGGCCAGATACGCAATTCGCCATGTTAAAGTAAAATAATTGCACTTAACGTGCGTGGAAAGTTAAAAAATCTTAATTTGTTAGGCAGATAGAGTTTCTTAGCTGATATCGATTATTCATATATTGGCGCTATAATTTTCATCGTGAGAAATTAATTTAATCAAATTCAGATGTATGTAAACGATAAAGTTAACTAAACTGCTATATAGGATACTAATTAATTTAAGCTTGATTCCTATCAGAAGATATGTGCTGCAATATTTATCGAGCGTAATGTGTAAAGTATCTCATTACGACAATTATGTAAAGATTCCTAAATTGAAAAATAAAGATGCTGCCGCTTTTGTAACATAAATCTACTTTAATAATTTTTGTAATATTTTAAACCATGAATAAAATACTCCAATCTTCTCCGAATAGGATAGAATCGATATGATAGAATTAATGTGTAAGGATCTTTATGACGAATATTTAGAATTATAAATTTCCAAAGGAAATTACATTTGGTTCCTTTTTTTTTTTGAACGTTATTTTTATGCTTTCGGCGAGTCAGTATATTATACGCTATTATACATTTTTAAAACAAAAACGAGAAAAAGAAAAGAAGAACCGTTACATATGAATGCTGTGTGCAATTAATTTTTTATGTATGGAAGTGGAGATATATTTAATACGAGTTTTTCACTTCGTGATCGATAAAGTCTCTTCTTTTCTTCTCTTTTCCTCTTTGGATTACGTGGACGACGGAAAATTGCGACGATTTTATGATCAACGCGAGATTGGAAAGCAAAAGAAAACACTCGCTCGAACTACTCCGCGGAACGACTTCGATCGCGCACACTTTCTCTCGTCTCGCGTATCACGATGTGGAATTTTGCGGAACTTTTGGGGCTGTCAATCGCGTAGACTTACAAGGAATCTCATGATTGCTGAACAACAATATCGGAAGGGCAACGAGACGAAACTGGCGGCCGCGTCGCGACGCACTTCTATATGGGCACGAACCGTGCCCCGTGGTCGCGGGCTGAACCGTACCGTCGGCCACCACCAGCTTTCATGGTTGGTCGAGTTTCGAGCGATTTTTTTCGCATGCAAGTCCCCCGCCCGTAGTCACGTAATCGCAGCGCAGCGAAGCAATGCGCCCCGTGCTAGCTGGCCGCTGCTAGTTGCGCTAGGCAGTGACCGGCACGGCACGATACACGTTTGTCTCCTTACAATGTCTCCCGTATAATATGAAGAATCAGACTAATATAATATATTCTACTTCAAACTTCCGCTTAATAAAATTTACAATAAAAAAATTTCAAGATAAACTAATGGCATAAATCATATTAATAAGTAGAAGTAAAGTATATAAAATTAAGAAGATGTATTATGGATCTCTGTATATATTATTAATAAAATAATACATTTTCATAGGCTATGTAAATTTTATTGTTATAAAAGTAAACACGTGTCATGTTTTTCTGAAAGTGATTGAATTGACAACAACAAAAATTTAATAAATCTTACATTATTTGTTATAATTGACAAGAAAAAAAGATCTAAAATTAAGTTAATAAAGTTCTCGAGACAAAAATAAGTATATTTAATCTTCAAATTATATGTAACGCATGGTATCAAATTAAAACAAAGTCAAATATAGGTAAATGTTTATTTATAAGTAATCATAACAATAATAACCTTTTCTTTTGTATGGAATTTAATATCTCTCTCTCTCTCGTATGAAGTTTACGTAATTCCACATTACATCGTAGATTATGGCGATAGTGTTACGTGAAAGTAGTTTGACCATGTCTCTTTTCCTTGTGTTTTTTTGTGCAACCATGTCGAACCTTAAATTTAACAATTGAAATTTTGTGTTATCTATCAAATCGTTGATTCTATGATTCGATTCATTGATATCTATGGTGAGCGAATTAAACATCGTTGTGCATTAGATCATCGATTATTTTCGAACTGCGTGAAAGTTGTCCGTTTCTCTACAGTCTCTAGCTTTATGTTACGTACAGCTATTGTATTAAAATCACTTATAATTTTTTCATTTAATTTTTTTATAGAGATACTGCTAATATAATAATTCTTCTTTAATAATTGTTATATCTCAGGAAAATTCCAAAGTTTCAATATTCAGAATTAACTGTTTTAGAATCAATATTTAAAATTTATAATTCGTTATTTTTAGCAGTTATTTAATTAACGTTAACTAATATTTATCAAAGAGATTATTTTAATCATGATTTTTTTCTACTACATCGTAAAGACAGAGGATATTTAAAAAATCTATCACTATCTGCGATTTGCAATCACAAGTACATATCGGTCACTCGTTCACGATGGAAACGTGGCATTCCACGTATTCGACGAATGAGCGAAGGTGCACGGTGATAGATATCTACTTCGAAAGGGTGATATACGTGTACACTATATCCAGTCACGTAATGGTTAGACCAGTACGATGCAAGAAACTAACGTACGCATCGCTTCCGTATTCGTAAGTCGTAAATTGTGTTTGCATCGCTTAGATGCATGCGTGCATAATACAGTCTTGTTCCATGCATATTTTGAAAATCACGTAGGCAGAAGACAAAAAATATTTTAATATGCATTTTAAATATATGGTGTATATTTATTAAATATATGTTATATATTTATGTTATTATGCTATACAGATACTGGCGGAAATTTCTTGCAGAAATTAAAGATCACTCGCAAAATGCCATTATTTAATAAAACATCGACATTGAAGAATATTGTATCCGAATACCGTTGAAATTAATCGACGAACATGACCCTATAACTAGAAACAGTTCACAATTATCAGCTATAGTATAATTTTATCGTCTAGCATGTATATATATATATTTATGCACCAGGATTGCGTAAAGAATTCTGCATACCACTTTCAACATTCCAGATTTCTTTTAATAGTTTGAGCATATTGAACGTTATCTTTAGCTATTCTTGATTGACTTGAAAAATCATGATATTTATAGTACATGCATGTAAAATAGTAATGGCAAGTAAAATCATTTTTTTAACAATTTTAAAGTGACCTTTATTTGAAGAGTTAAACAAAAATTTTATACTACACAAAATTATTTGATGAAAAAAATATGTAAGTTGAGAAAAGAAACTTTACATTTTTTTCATATAAAGTGCAAAGTAACATAAATTAAATTTAATCTAAAATTTAACGATTTAAAAACTAAAATAATGGATATCTCCAATTTATTAATAAATTCTTTCAAGTTTAATCTATATATCGATAAACTGAAAGGAAATAAACATTGCAAGAGAGTACAGTCTTATATATTTTATTTAACATATTAAACATATATGTAAATACAGGTATAAAAAAGCTATAACACAATAGATAAATTTATTATATATATGTTTTTACTTTGAATTTTACTTTGTATTTTATTTCAAAATTTCATTTTACTATCAAAATTTACCTGAATATTTGATACATACATGCTACCGAGACATAATAACTTTAGTTTTCTTTTCGTTGCACAAGAATCATGGAAAAGCTTGATTCTCGAATGTCACTTTCTTGTTTTATCTTAGTTGTAACATATCCGCTCGGATAAGACAACTCAAAATAAGAAAAAAAAAAAAGAAAAAGAATCTTTCTCGAGTGCAAATTTTGCAAAGTATTAAAGATAAAGATAACTCCCTTAAAAAATTTCTTATCTGTTAGATAAAATGGAGGAAAAATAACCAATATCAAAACCAAGTTTCAAGAAACTTAAAAATAAAAAATATTTACTTTATATAATATCAAACTTGAAATATAAAAAAGTTAAAATATTCATATCGCATTAATTAATCATTCAAATAGAGATACCTATTAATTAAAAAAATATAAATAGAATGTTCTTTCCCTTTTTCTCAAATTTCAAAAGAATCAAAAAGAACTTATAATTTCCATGTTCGAGTCACTTCTATCACTTCTTCAATATTTAACTTTTGATTATAATGTTTTTACAAACTTAAGAAATAAATTTTTAAGAGATAAAAACAATATTATATGTCATTTTACTTTCATTTCGAAAATTGAAATATTTATTTCTTTAATAATCAAATTGAGTTAAAAATTCCTAATTATGTCATAATTAAGACTCGTTCTGCCGATTAAAATGAGAGAGATAGTAATGACGATACGTCGTCAATCAATATTGATTCTCGGTGACAGGTCTTACGCCAGCCTGCTGCTGATTGTAGCCTGATTGTGGCTGTTGATACTGCTGGTTCTGATTATACGGCTGTAGAAGTGCTTGCGTATATGCGCTCGAGGCCTGAGTTTCATAGGCACCACCCTGACCTTGATATTGCGCTTGCTGTATTGGCTGCGGTTGCTGTTGTTGTTGCGGTTGCGGTTGCTGTTGCGGCGCATTCACGCGATGCGGCACATACGGCTTATCTGCGCGAACCACAATTTGGTTGGCGATAATGTTGTACGGCGTTTGCGCTTGATACCTCAGCAGCTCGCGCAAGTGAGATGGCAAGTTGGGCGAATAGTGAGGCTGCGGTTCCGCTGGCGGTTGACTCGCACGGTATTGCTGCTGAGCCTGACGTTTGCTCCTAGAGTGACCACGTGATTTAGGTTGACGATGAGGTGCAGCTTGTGTCGCGATCACAGGCTCGGGCACGGGGGCGACTGCAGCCTCTTGAGCCAATTTCCGGAGGTGTTCTCGCACCTGCTGAGACTGAGCCTGTATCGCGGCCGCTTCATCGAATCTGGTCAATTTGATAAAAAAATCATTGAAACTGTATAGATAAAAATGTTAACGATAAATCTCCTTCGACGTCCTTTATTGCTTATTACCTGTATGGTTCCGGAATTATATTGATGTACGGAATTTGTTGCTGGAATTCAAGCAATTGCTGGATCTGCGGCGGTGCGTTAGAGTAAGGCTTGTAAGCCGGTAGTGGTTCCGCTTGCTGTTGCTGTTGCGGTTGCGGTCGCGGTTGCGGTCGCGGTTGAGCATAATGGGTTCGCTGTCGAGGTCGTGAAACTGGCGCCGCAGGTTGCGCCGCGTATTGCGGTTCCGGTTGAGCTTGCGGTTGCGATTGACGATCGTACGATCTCCAGTTTACCCTATAACCTTTCGATGCATATTTATGTCAGATCGATTCGATTTAAATTCAGAGATAACGTGGTAAGACTCATAAAACAAAATTGGCGACAATACCGCTAGGATCGTTGTATTGGAGCGCCTTCGAGTTAACTTGATTAGCATCATATGCTCCTTGAATTACGGATTGGCCTTGGATCGGCACTTGCACATTATAGGTAGCCGATCCACCATCTGAAGGTCCCTGTATCTGGAAGTTTGAGTGCCCATCTGTAGCACCTTGAATCCTGAAGTTGCTATTACCATCAGTCGCACCTTGAATAGTGAAGTCTCCCGGTCCTCCTCCCTCTAAAAAGTAATATTCAAAAATATCAAAAGAAAGAATATACATACAAGAGAGAACAATATTCAAGCTTATATTTATCTTGATGTATTGTGTTAAATATAAGGAATTTAAATAATAATAAGTAATAACCAGTCAAAAATAAAGAAGTCTCATAAGGCGAAGTGGATGCCTAGAAAGAAAGTTTTTCGCTCACTTCAAAGTAATTATCAGAATAAAACCATGTAAAATTCTTTAAAAAAGAATGAAAGATTATTTTTATGACGAAAGATAAAAAAAAATTGTTTCCTCTGGTTTTATACTTTCTACTTGCGTTATTATTTACACTCACCGCTTGCGTCTGTGTATTCGATTCCTTTCTCTTCACTGAACTTAAGACCTTGTGCCCGTCGATGCCCATCGCTAGGCCCCTGAATTGAGAATTCAGCCAGGCACATGGGCAGTGCCGTCAATAATAAAAGCTAGAATAGATTTATTACATGTTTTAACATACGTATACAATATATGTCTTAACAGGATAAAACGATTACCATAATTTACACGTTGAAAATCAATTAAAATCCTTGTTGTCATTTTCAATCGTTGAAAATCGGCATTTAAATATTGTAACAAAAGAAAAGATATACAAAGAGATGAATAGAATTATGTGTCAATTATACATTAAAAATTCTTACAATTGTTTGTATAATTTTCTATACACTATCTAATAACCTACCTAATAATTTAATGCTGAATAAATTATGTTTTTTTTTTCATCATTACATCTATTTTTCAATTACGTTAATACAATAAAACCAGAATGCAACATTATCATACATTCCAACGTTTACCTCTCTCTCGATGTTAAATGCTTTCGCAATCAGACGATCAAAGATCATTATCTAACACGCGTGGCACTAAACCTGAATCTGTTTTATGGCATGTGCTATATTGCACATATGGAAGTGTATCGAGCAACCGGCACCGGGAAGCTAAAAGGGAAAGTCCGTGAGCACATGAATCTTTAATCAGCGGGTAGTCACGATAATCGGGGAAAAGGTAAGTGCATTGCCGGTTAACAGTCACGATCGCGAGACGCACTCGCGAGTCGCTATGAACACGGCCGCAAGACAAAAAAGATAGGTGGAAGAAAAAAAGAAGAAAAGCGCAAGTCGGCTCACGACTTAAGGTGATCGAACGCGCTAGTTGCGAGCGTTATACGTTATAGTCGGTAGAAAGCGAGGTGGACATTAATCGTCCAGACACACCCGATGCAATTATTTGAAAAAATCGACTTCAACTCGTTTGAAAATGTCTGCGACCGTGCTGTCATGGGACCAAATGCCGCTCTAGAATTACACGTACGACAAATTCTGCGCGAGTTTTATCTCACGGAACGCGGAAACTGTGCGACATTTCGCGTGATACCAAATCGCGACACGCATGTTGATTATCGAGGTCTGCATATATTTTCCCGGCAGGTATAAAAAATAAAAGATAAAAAAGCATTAAATTAAACATAACGTATGTATAAAAAATAATAATTAATTCTCTTCAATATTTGCTCTTATCGCATTATTACATTTATTATTATTTTCTACATAAGTGTTTATTTTATATCTTGTAAGTTTTATAAAAGGAGAGAATATTATGCGAAGCGTGACAATGAAGCGAATAGAATAAATCACCTTTCATTAAAATGTCGATCCACGAGCTTGTGACAAGATTGCAAAAGCTGTTTGCTCGTATCCGCGATTAATAATTGGATCGTGAAATGCATTTCCCGGCCAATGACCGTGGTAAGCGGCATTCCGAATCGTCAATCTTCTTACGACATTCAACGTTGCAATTAAGTGCATGACATTTGTTAATTTCTCATTCACGTTTGCTACCTTTCGACGGAAGGCGATATCTCTGATACAATAAATGACTTCCGGTTTTCAAGTTATACAATTATGTAGAATGAAACTTTACAAGCGTATTCAATTTTTACAGATGTGCCGTCGCGATAAATATGTGGAAAATGAAAGTACAAAAGTAAAAAATAAATTCATTTAATTAATACTAGAAAAAATATTTTGCAACACATGGCAATTAAATGCACGCGACATTTCGTTCCAACATTGTTCTGCATTTTTTTCAGTTTTCGACTGAAAAGATGATTATCAGCGCACAAACGCGTATCTATAGAATTTACATACTAAGTTAAATGGTACACGATTTAATCGGGGATATGCGAGAAAATATTTAAGAAAGAAATAACGAGCAAAAATATGAACGTTGATGTACGATCGGTACCGCTAATCGTATCGTAATTTATTGCTCGTGTATCCAATTTGCATATCCAGCACGATTGGACGCACGCGACTTCTCATTTCACCTGCCGAAGAGAAACGCGACTCCTGGAAAAGTCGTACGCAAACATTTTACATTTTCTCTATTTTTCGACATAATACGAGGACTTTCGATTAGAAGAAAATACACAAGCGAACACAAAGACGGCTGCGTACTTACGTGCAATTTCATGGCGTGAAAGCTGGTCGATTCGTTCGAGGGTGGAGTGTTTCTGAGGCGGGCGCGCGGTCACCAGAACAACTTTATAGTCGGCCACGTAAAAGGAGCCTTTCAATGACGGGGATGTGACTTGGCGAGAGCCACCTCCATCTTGCATCTCGTCGGCCGGCCGGCCGGCCGACGTCGTGCTCCAACAGTCGTTGCTCTTTCTATAAACGCGAACACGTTGAAGGAAACGTTGCTTCCGGCGCTTGTTACATTCTTCTTGTTACATTAATTCCATTGTAAAGTTATTTTTTTTTTGCAGAATGCATAGATAAATTAAACTTTGACATAAGTTAATTTTGACAAATGTTAATTTAGTACTCTTATAAATTCCAATCATAGAATATCATAATCTTTCGCATAAATTTTCTTCTTCTTTATTATTAAATAGGATAAAAATTTTAATGATAAATTCTTTTTCACAAGCGAAGAACTGTGCACTTAGCATTTTAAAAGTAAATTAAATCTAAAAATTTATATAATACACATTTTATTAAATTGATATTCCATAACCAATTTTATTTTATTTTATTTTTTTTTTAGTATAAAATTGTTCGCCATACAAAGTTTGTTATTCATCTCTTCACGCGATGCATTATAAAAGTCTCGAGTATACCGATGGAAAACGACGGCGTAACTGCAGGAATGCGATGCAACACGATATTTCCCAGGCAATCGCCATTCAAAGGTTACAGAGCGAAGAGAGACCGCGGAGGATCTGCAATTAATTGCCGACATTGAATTCAATTATTGTTCTGTCAAGTTACGTAAAGCGCTATTGCTTTTCGCATTAAAGTACTGATCTAATAATACGGATCTAAGTAAAATAGTGACTTGAAGAAAAACCGAGAAAAGTTAGTAAGAAGTTTTTATTGCTGTATTATTGCGATCGTTATGGATAATGGATACATGCTCAGAAATACAACCGGGGAAATTATTCCTCGAACTATGATCGCATTATTCCAAATGTATCTCAAACCCATATCATTCTTGACGCTGCACTCATGTCTCTACATATCCTAAGAATTACAGATTTCTATTTTCGCAATAGATTCGATAACGGATCTCTGATGTTCCGTATCATTAAACTAGTAAAGTTTTATTGTTAATACGATAGATTTCTATTTCAGATACGCAATTATGGGAGCGTACTTCTCTTTTATTCAATTATTCAATTTGACTGCAAAGTCGTTCTTACTCACAGATGGAAATGCCGTGTTACGTCAGTTTATGTAGAAAGCTACACCGTGTCGCTTTGCGATAGATAGATCGTCGATCTCCCGTGAAATTATAGATTACCCCAAGACTCGTATCGACCTGTGAAAACAATTCCTACGCGGCACCATTCCATATAAAAAAGATATTTAATGAACGAAAAATGGACGATGCATACAGAATAATTCATGAAGTGAATGTAAAACTTCGAAAACTGACTTATCAGATTACATTTGAAAAAAATATATTATGCAGAATGGAAAATTAATTCTGATTATACATCAAGATTATTACTAATCTTATGAAATAAATATATAGCTGTTGTACAATAAAATCGAACGGGTAATTCAAAGATTTAGAGTTTGTTATAATTAAAAAGTATATGTATGTTTTTTGTAACATATTTAATATTTAAAAAATAATTTTAAGCTTTTTTATTATAATTGTAATTAATTAATTTTTAATTGATTTGTTGCGAATATTTTGCTATGTATTAAAGGCTATAATTTCCTTCGATTTCCACGGACAAGATCATTGAATTTAAAGGGCGTGACCCTGGAGAAATTATCTATTTGTACAAGCGCCAGAAAAAATTAAAATTACTTGAAATAGAAACACGAAATTATATTTGCAATTGCAACGGATCGACGACTGCATCGATACGCGAAGCGTGAAGGCTACGAAAGTATATCGATCAGTCTTGCTTGTCGGGAGAAATGCTTTTCGCTTTTGGAAACTTCAATTTCTATATTTCATATTTTTCATATATTTCATATTTAAAATAGACAGACCAGACAGCCAGGCGATACGTTTTCTAAAATTTATAAAATATTCTTTCCTTGTATCGTATCATGCTTCGATGATGAAATCCACCTGATTGGGTTTCTAATTCCATTGCATTGAATGCTTTTTGCGATCAATAAAAACTCAATCCCCTTCTAATCGGAATCGTATGAAATCTATTAATAAAAGGTATGTGTTATACGCTGTCGCGCATACTTCTTTCTCCTGCCAGAATATTCACGCCACGCCAGTAATTTCCTTAATTTATGTGACACAATCTGATAAGGAACTTTTCGTATTATGCCGTATTCGACTGACTTCCTTTTGCAAAAATCTATCTATCTTTCACATGCGCTCTTATCGTAATATTGTGTCGCGAATCTCTGCGTGAGACGGAATATCGCTTTCTAACATAGGGAGATCAGATATCTTTATTCAATAGAAAGCTAAAAATCATCTGACTTTCTATTTGCTCTAATAGCGTGGGATCTAGTATCATCATGTATAATTAAGCAAATCACTCGTCGCGCGAACTTCCTGAAAGGAGTAAACTTACAGCAGCTCGACTTTTATCGGATTTTCGCTTACGCGTTTAACTCACCTTTTTATGTGCGGAAGTTCCGCGAGCTGAAATAATAAAAGTGAAGATTGCGCTACGACGAGGTGAATGACTTCCATGATGCCAGAAGCGGAAATAATTTATTTCGTATAAAAAATTACATTCTTCACGCTACCGTGTAGTTAAACATTTTCTATTTTACACGCATACAAAAAAAAACAGAATACAGCTTTCTTAATTAAGTGAAATGAAAAACGAACAGAAAATTAATCAAGAGGAAATCATTTCTGTTTTAATCAATTTTCTCTTGTTAATATCGATATTAATTGCGATATTAATTATATCGAATAAATATCCTTGAAGTCCGATTAATCTTTTGATTAATTTTCTGTTCAATCTCAATAATTTTTCTCAATAATAAATTTCTTCTTTAAATAATTAATAATTATTCTGCTATTAATTATAAATCGAGCAATTGTTTTTTCTAATCGTTGCATTTAATTCCAATTGTTGAATATCGGAGATTTATCTTTTTTCGGTTGTCGAGAAAAAAATCTGTAGGCCGCTGTCAAATGCGGTAATGCGTCAAAACATGCGTCATTGCAAAATGTCAACAAACGGTGCAATAATTTAAAGCGCGTAAAGACACTCATTTTAACAAGGCTCTGACAATATCGGGCTCTAACAATAATTGAAAGCCATCTCCGCGAATAAAAATGGGATTCAATTCGAGCGAGTCTTAAAATCAGCTGTCCTTTCTTCGAAGCTTATTGAGAGATAGAATACTAAATTATATAAATCGTATTACATAAACCAGTTTCTCGGTCAATGGCGTTGTTCCTCGTCGACCGGCTTCTCCTGCGGATATTCCGCGTCAACGTTATCGTCACCCGTATAGTATACCTTGCTGCGGTAATAATATGGTCCTTTGACGTCGTCGGATAGTGGCTTAGGGATAAAAATACTTTTCGGCCTGTATTGGATGCGATTCGCCGTGACATCATACGGTATCTGTGCCTGATATTTCAGCAACTGCTTAATCTCCGTAGGCATATTTCTGTCCAAATATAAAATAGGTAGCGGGGACTCGGGTACGTTTACTAACGGTGACGGTGCTACCTGTTGCTGCTGCTGCTGCTGTTGCTGCTGCTGCTGTTGTTGCTGTTGCAGTTGCTGTTCGTAATCCTCTTTGTAGACAATTTTATCCTGACGTTCCACCCTTCTGTCACTGTATTCGTACCTGGGCTGCGCTCTTTGAGGATCGATCGACTGGTACCTCGCCGATGGTTGCAGGTAAG